CTGGGTTGGAGAAGGGAGAATGGATCCCTCTTGGTGATGGGGAAGGGTGACTGGATCCCCACCGGGGCTGGGGAAGGGTGACCAGATCCCCCTGAGACTGGGGGTGACCAGATTCCCCCAGGATTGGGGAAGGGTGATCAGATCCCTGGCAATAAAGGGGAATTGGATCCATTCAGGGCTGGGGAAGGGGCTGTAGCTGCGGACACCGCAGTCTCCTGCATGGGGTATGCCAGGATTTGCCCTGCCCTGCCCCAAAAACACCAGCTGGGATGACACCAGTGTCACCCACAGTCATGTCACCCTCTACCCAAAGGCCTGGGGGATCCGAGGATAGAGGTGCCCCAAAAGCATCCCCACTGCTGGAGCCAGGCTGGGGCTGAACCACCCCCCCCACTGGCAGCACCAAGACGAACAGATCCCATCTGTGTCCCCCCCTTCTCATCGGAATAAATACCATTTATTCAGAAGAAATCATTTTATTTTTTTTTCCCAAAGAAAAAAAGCAATATAAATATTAGAGTATAAAACTTGCGTGTAACACATCGACATCGGTCTATATGGGTATAAGAAGGATATAAGCATATATATAATATATAAGTATAATTCAATATTAGACACATTGAAAGGGCAAACGTGTTTCATCTCACGTACACTTGGAGCACAGACCACATGGAAAGAAGATACAGAGAAAATTGAAAATACTGGTGTCCACAAGTTAGTTACCGAGATTAAAAATAACACGCCACTAAATACACGACACTCACTATGCTACCTCAGATTGCAGATTAAAAAGAAATATAAAGACTACGATTCAGCTACAGCATTTCGGGGGAGGGGTGGGGCGGGGCGGGCAGGTGGCAGCTGCAGGGGACAGGGTGGGAGCCATCCCAGTGCAGCCAGTGCCGGAGGTGGCCAAATCTGGATGGAACACGGTAGATGCTCCTGCTGCCCTGGATTTGGGGAAGGGTGACCGCTGCCATGCCAGAGCCTGACCCAGAGGGCTGGATCTGCTCGGGTGAGTTATGTTAGTGATTAAAAAAGGGGAAAAACAATCCACACCCCACACCCCCCGCCCCTGAAAACTCTGCATGGCCCCTTCTTGACCCCACCCCACAGCCCCTCTTCTCCTCCGGCTACACAAAGCCCCCTCAGTCTTTCTGAGGGGAATCAGAGCTGCTTTGATATGGGAAGCTGACCTGATGCAAGGGTGATGGGCACACGGATAAACTCTATTCCTCATCCATTGATTACCTCCACGGGGTGGAAAGCTCAAAGCCGGTGGGAGCATCACCTCTTCTGGGCCCCATGGGCCCATGTGACGTCTCCCCAGTCACCCTAGCTCGCTGGCTTCGCAGCATCACCCCTGTCTCTTGGGTCCCTCCTCAAGGTCTAGTCCCCAAGCATCACCAAACCACTGTCACTTACTCAGTCACCAACTCTGCACCAAAGCCATGCGCTGGCAGCTCCATGGATCTCACCCCTTTGGGTGAGACCACAAAATAACACCTTTATTTGGGACCCACACCCAAATAAGAAGTGATGAGTCTCCCTATCCTACTTGACCCATCCCACCCCACCCAAGGCAGTCCCAGCACATTCACACCACGCTGCGTGGGCATGCGAGGACTTGTCTGGATCTGTGGAGCTAACTGCTCTAGTGCAGGCGTGAGGTGAAGGATGTGCATGCAGACGTGGTGTGCAGAAACGTGAAGCATCGTGCCTCCTGGTCCCCTTGGCGGGGACTCAGCCAGATGGCTGCCTGGCCACAGGGGAGCAAGACTGTTTCAGCTTGAATTCCAGAAGAACATTGACTGTACATATAAATATTTACTGCAAAGAAGGGATGAGATGTGTCTGCTCTTCAGAGACCCCTAGAACTGCCAGGGCAGCTGCCACGCACCTCAGCTGCTCCTCATTGAATTCCCTACCTCTCAGACATCAGGAGGAGGGTTTTTGTCTCATACTTCAGGCCACCAGTGGTTGTTGCACTTTAAAAAAAAAAAAAATACATTTTTAGGATGCAGCTTTACCATATTCCCTTTGACTCATGCAATATAAACACTTAGGTTTTTTTCCTGGGTAACAGGCAAGCAGGAACTGAAGCACTCCCTACCAACATCTCAGCAACAAATCCATCGCTATCATTAACTCAGGGTGAATTTTACTCATGGAAAGGTTAAAAGCAAAGATCTGGAACATGGGCTATAAGGTAGGAACTGCATGTTCCTTTCCAAAAAAATGCTCGAAGGTCTATAAATTAAGAGATCTGTGTTAAAATTATTTACAGCGGGCAAAGCCGATCACAAGCCTTGTGCCTTTCTCGGACTATGTGGGAGCAAATCGGATCCAAAGACATGGCAGAAGACCTTCCACCCTTGAATATGCTAATACCCAAGGGACTGTATAAAATGTTAGCAAGTATTCACAGGGCACTTTGCATTCGGTTTAGCTTCCGGATTGGTTTTCATCATGAGATCTAACAGCAGCGAGACCCTGCTCCTAGCTCTGATGATGAGGAGATACATTCGAGTGTTTCCTACTTTTTTGCGTCACAAAAAAAAAAAAAAAATAACATTCGTCCTTCGGCCTGGGCTGTGGTTTGGGGGAGTGCTGGAGCCGGCTGCCCTGTAGCTCTAAGGTCTCCTTCTACTTCTCTACTTCTTCTCCTTCTTCCCGGATTTCTTCTTGTTGCCTCCCGAGGAGCTGGAGCTCTTGGCGTCGCGTTTGCTGGCAGCGTTGGTGAGGGTGGCAGTGCTGCCAGGGATGTAGACGTTCTGCCGGTAATCAGGGACATGCTGCAGGGTGAACTGGGGGCCGTAGCGGGCACTCAGCCCCATGGTGCCTGTCCCGCCGCCCAGGGTCGAGTTGCCATCAGCAGCTTCTGTGGGGAATGCCAAGGCAGGGGCGGGGGGGTAGGGGGGAAGAGAAGGGCAGGTTGTTAGTGCTGGTCAGAGACCACCCCAAGCCTCAGCAATACCGAAAGGTGTCAAACCCAGACCTTTGTGCCACCAACCTTCACCCCCACCCTTCATTACCCTCCAGCACTATCGCTTCATGGGATGGCTAACACGTGTGTGATGGGGAGCACCGCACAGCCGGCAACAAAATCCTGTTTCCCTCTCATATCGTTGATAAAGATGCCAGAGGATAGGGAGGCTCTGCAGAAGGATCTGGACAGACTAGATTGATGGGCCAGGACCAACTGCATGAGTTTCAATCAGGCCAAATGCCAGGTTCTGTACTTGGGTCACAACAACCCCCAGCAGCACAACAGGCTTGGGGAGGAGTGGCTGGAGAGCTGCTCAGCAGAGAGGGACTTGGGGGTGTTGGTGGACAGCAGCTGAACATGAGTCAGCAGAGTGACCAGGAGGCCAAGAAGGCCAACAGTGTCCTGGCCTGGATTAGGAATAGTGTGGCCAGGAGGACTAGTGAAGTTCTTTTGTCCCTATACTGGGCACTGATGAGGCCGCACCTCTAGTGCTGGGTTCAGTGTTGGGCCCCT